AGAAATTATTATCGTAAGGACAAGGCACTTATTTTGTGATAAACATAGGTAAATAATAAACATTACTTACATTATAACTGCCATAATTAACTTGCCTATTGAAATCTGTTCAACAGATGTTTTAATTTTATTTTGTTCTATTGTTTGGGCTGTAAATAACTCAACAATGACTACATGCTTTTGATTCTTGTTATTATAGCGAACTAAAATATATTTACAGTGCTTTCTTACCAGGTTTGACCTCTAACATACGTTACTAACTTAGAATTACGTAACTCATGAATTGGATCCAAATACCGAGAAAAAATAGAGAAATGTCGTCAGTGGAATCGAAGGTGAAAATAAAATTAATCAATTATTAAGTGCACAGCTAAACACTTTTTAATTTATTAAAACAAACGCATTTAAACAAAATAAATAAATAATAATATTTATTACTTATAATTAAAAACCTTAGTTAATCAATTTTAACGGTTGTAAAACGTTAATAATTGTTTTAATACTTTCGCAACTTTAAAATAAATAGTTTTTAGATAAATGCTGTAAATAAAGTGTTTTTATTACCCCTTCATTATTTCCTGTTATGCCTTTGCAAGGTCCAGTCAGTTTGTTTAAATTATATCGCCAACTGTACAATTGTTAAGCTATTTAGATTGTAGGGCGCTTCAAGGAAACTTGGACGTATGTACCTGAACGACTTAATTCCTATATCACGATAAGAATGTTATTCGAATCACTCCAACGAACATTACTGTCGATACAAAATACCCCAAATTTTACTTAAACAAGACCCAAAAACCTATTAACTACTTATATATAAGTTCCTTTTTCTAATTTCTATCGATCGGTAATCGAACTCACGTCTGTTTCACTTTTCTTCGTAACCATAATATAAATGTGACATGTAATTCGGTATGAGGTACATAGTACAATTTATATTAGACTTTAAACTGACGATCGGACGAAGAAATACACGGAAATAAGAGTATATATTACTTATTATTAAGCCTTATGATATATATAATTAGTAACTGTTCACATTTTGAAGACACTTTCTTAGGAATTATTGTTAACCATTAGTTATTTTTGACGTACCACATTTATTTAGTTGATTGAATTTAAAAGAGATGTAAAACGCTTTGTAATTATAGGATGAGAGATGTCTTTTTATGTATAACTGCTAAATGGATTTAAATAAGCTCAATTTATTTAATGTTTAAAATAAAACACTTTAACGGTTTAAAACGCTATCTATTTTAGTTAAACTTGTTTAAAAATTATTTTTAACTACGGCCCGACGTTTCGACGTTCCAGCTGACCACGGCTGCTGCAAAGCATCTGTGTGCTACTCGCGTAAACTACAGACAGTATTTATTTAATGTTGCCTAAATGTCGTCAGTAGATTTTTAAACTACTTAATGAAAGATAGCAATTATGTATTATATATGAGACTGCTAGAGGCAGAGTGGCCTAACTGTTAATTTTTATGACTTGAGTTATTTATATATATAGTGATAGTCTAAAAATGTTAATCTACAAGAGCAGAGAGACCGAAACTTGTTAACATTTTTACACAAACGATAGTTAAAATTCATTTTCGTCTAAGTTTATTTATTAGATTCTGTTATTAGGCCACTCCGCTTCTAGCAGCCTCATATTATGTATACTCATATCTATTATATATTTTGTAAATATTGATGTAACAAATTTGTTCCTCTAATAACGCTTTCTACAAATTATTCGTTTAAAATATAAAAAAATAACCTGCCCCATAGTATAAAGAATTTGACAGATGCTTGTGCCTGCTTACTCTGGTCAAGAGAGTAAACAAAAGCGTGACAACAATGGAACTTGCCTATTTTCACACGTTGCCCTCGGGGAAGCGCTGCGGTAGGTAACTGTCGTTGAAAAATATTTATTATTTTGTTAAAGTGCTTTAAGATTTTTTACAACTGTATCAATTTATTCCTACACGAATAGATCACACATACTAGCACTAGTAGTGCCAAATCCAATAAGGGATGTAGACAACACCATTTTTTTAAAATGAATATTCAAATTTACTATTACTACCTAATTAAATTTTAATATTTTATAATTTAAAGTAAAGAAGATTAAGTTTAACCATGTAATGAATTTAACAAAACAAAATTACTTTTATTGCCTTCTAAACACAGTTATTACTTATATTTGATGTAACACATTGTTATGAGTACAATATCGCTTTCACTATTTGCGTAGTTGATCATACTAACGCACGCGAAATATTAATCGGGGATAACACTCTACATCTAAAAACAATTTTTAATTAATTTATTTTTAGCGCCGAGTGGATACATACCACACGGCATCCGGCTCGAAAAATCCCGCTGCATCTAGCATTGCACTCCTAGCTTTTATTCTCATTCACGTAGCATTCTTTTTTGCCTCACCTAGACAGATTTTGTTATGGCTACAGAAGTTGGTTTGTTTTAAATTATTCCGCTATCTGGGTCATTTTACAAGCCTACAACATTACGTAATTTTTGCTCCTGTTTCGAAGTACGCTTGACGCTTGTCCTACTTTTTGCTAAAACAGTTTCCGTATTAGTGTGATGATTTAAAACACATTAAGATAAGACCATAGAGACGCTGCAAGTTATCTACTCCTTGCGACTTGCTCATCTTGTGCGGCTTAGACAGCATTTTCACAGCTATGAGTGCTGTCGCCTGTTTATTTGTATATTGTGTATATTTCACAATAAGAAACAAAATATGGTGAAGTAAAACAAAGAACTCCGGTAGGGAACATAAATTCTCTTCTTTTTCTTATTATTTTGTTAAACGTAACGACTATGAAGTTGTTGGGCACGGTTGCGCTGTTAAAAATAATATGGTGAATTCAAATAATGTTTAAATTTCAAATGTCTTAAAGCCGTTTTGGCTACAATTTGATACATTCTGTTTTGTTTGCTGAACTGTATCATATTGTGTACTTGTGTGGCTAATTCAATACATAAATATTCTACGCAAGTAGTTTAAAACAATGTACAAAAAGCTTTATATAAATAAGATGTTACCTACATACATATAACTACCTACATACAGATATTTAGCTTGAACTGAAATAGGATTTTTACAAGTCTATTAATGTACTGTCAAGTGGGAATCATACATATATATAGCATAAACTATCCAGCCATTTGGTGGGTGGGGGGGGGGTTTATCATTTTTATTCATGTAGAAATCATTAAATATAAGCCCGTGTACTCTCTCCTTAGCTTAGTGGTGATGATTCAATTCAATCTACCTAAATAGGGTTTTGGTTGATTGAACTCTCGTGTAAAAATTCAAATAGTGAACTTTGAAGTGCACACAATTCGTAGTTACAACTTACCTAGTTGCCCTCCAAGCCCTACCTAGCAGGCGGAAGAATACCTACGCTTTCTCTATCGTGGGCGAGACGAGTTGATCTCATTCATAGCTATACTTCGTGTTTACATTACGATAAGGCGCCTAGGTGGATATATTGTAACTATTCAGCGCTCGTCCCACAAAAATAAACCACGAATCGATGGAAACACGCCGCGATAACGATTGTTTACCTGAAGATTACTCGTTCAAGGTAACGATAGTATTCTCGACGTACGAAACTCGTTCCAATTTTTTATAACAGGTTTGGATCTCGTGGCATAATAAGCATCCATTGATCGTCTACACTACCTAAGCTGACATTGAAATAAAAGACGTATGTTTTATGAATCGTGATTCGTCTAACGACAATACCGGTCCCTCGGCTCACAAAAAGCCGGAATGCCGTATTTAAAGACGGTCCCCCTACCTCTGTCGCTCGTACATATCCAGCAAGGGCTACACAGGAGAGCCATGCGTAAATTCTCCACTGCATCACAACAACTTTGTTAACCCCGGTTACAACGCACTACACCAGCACAGCACAGAACAATAAATGTTATGTTATTCCACAACACCATGTACACGGTCACAACGGGGCGGAAAGCGACATGCGTCTTCGTTTTGAGACTGCCGTAAACTGAGGGTCGCTTGGCGCTAACTTCACGATGTAGCGTATTCGGCTCGTGGCTAATTTCATTGATGTGGGCCTTCCCTCGGCTCGGTCGTCGCCCGATGGTCGATGAAGCTCTATTTCGCGTCACGCATTCCAATTTATTACATTCACTCTCACTGCGGTAATCGAGTTGCTGAATCGTATGTTAGCTTGAGAACCTTTAGTGAGATTTTTATTGAGTGATGTAACTGTAATTCTATGTCTTATTTTCGCTGTGCAGACACGTTTTTGTGTCCGTTTGACCGTTTACTGATTAATTTTATTACAGCGACCGAAACTAATGTTTCTTTGAGAGTGGAATCCCGGTTCATTACATCTCTGTGTCTTGAAAACTTAAAGTAGTTACAGAAATCTAAATAAATATGTAAAAAAATCTTTTTGGACGATAATTAGCACAAGCCATTTGAAACGAATATTTATAAAGTAAGACAAAGTACTTACCCACTTACTATAGTAAATCTTTTTTTTTCTTAATTTAAAATTTATTAAAATTGTGATGTGATGTGAACTTTAATAGTAAAAATTTCCTTTGAAAAATCATTTAACGTCACCTATGAGTGATTTCTTACACTATTACTTCTCCCGATTTCTAATTCTTCGACTTATGACAGTATAAATATTTTTCACTAGATGGCGCAATTTAAAATAGCAAAATACTCATAGTTATTACTCTATATACAATCGTGTGATAAGTAATGTATACAAAAAATAACCATTATATACATGCAGACAAATAAAGTTTAAATAAAACAACAAAATGAAATGCCCGTATATTATGGTATATATTTTGATCTGTTAATCTAAAACCTAATTAAGTAAGTGAACATAAACAAAAATATCCACAAAAATTTATTCAACAGCATCTTATATCAACTTTATTAAGCATATGAAATATTTCACCACAGCAACAGGACTTATAAAATTAATTAAAAGTTCATTGTTTGTCTGGCATATCTGCCATAGTTTGCTTATGACGTCTAATAGCATCTTCATGACGCTTGATTTGTTCCTGGTGAAAGGCGATCTCTTTCTCCATGTGTCCTCTTAAGTTGGCAATTTGCTCCTTTTGCTGTTAAACATAAATTGTGCTATATATTAATGGTTCTAATCCTTTATCAAAACAATAGATGTTTATTTTTCTACATACAATAGTAAACATTCATCATGTTTTCCTAATATACCTTTTTGTAAAAGTATTCATCTTCTCTAGCCGCTTCCATCTTGCCGAAGGAGCCACCAGCCTCACGGATTGAGCCACCACCGCCACCTCCTTTACCAGCACCAGAGCCTGGTTCACCAGAATACATTCTGTAATTTGGACATCATAATCACTTTCAAAATAAAAACAAGGAACAGAAACTGTTGTTTGAAAATGTTTCAGTTAGCTCTTTATTTCTTAGTAGATAGATAAAAGAGTAAGTTTGATCAGAACAACAAAGCGACCCGGCCCTTTGTTTGCGTATTTTCAGATAAGAGTGTCAGTTACCGGCCACATTTATTATTATCTCTAATGATTATTTACATAATTATTCGCTATCAAATGCTATCTAGATTAGTAGTAGCATATAATTGCACTAGTACGATAGCGAAACAAATATTCTAGAGATTTCTTAAGGATTCTAGTAAATAGTAAAAATGTGCATTATTGTTAGCGCACACTAAATCTAAAAACTAGAATGATTGCGTAACCAAACAGGTCGCGTTAATAGTTACCTGATATTAGCAAGTGCACGTAGCGATAGAACTCTTGTTCGCAATATAGAATTCATAATAAATTATTTAGGCAAGCTCTTGTAAATAAAAATGTTGTAAAAACTGAAATGTTAAAACGCCGACCCGATGTTCTCGTAATAATTATAAATAGAAAGTTGACGTGACAGATTAAAGTTAAACTGACATATCTAAATGTCAAATTAGTTAACATTTATTCCTAGAGATGGCTCTTAAATAAATAAAGAGTTATAGATAAAAAAGATTACAAAGTACATATAAAAACAAATATGTATAAAATATGGTTGATATAAAACAGGACAAAAATGTAATATACTTACGCCATATCTTGATTCTTGATCCAAAGAAAATGTTTTAATTTCTGCTCAGCTATTATTTTATTTAGTTCTGCCGTTTCACGCATAGCTTTGACTATCTGCCTTTCTTCTTTTAAGGACTCCATTTTGATATCTTTTTCACACGATGCATACCTGTCCGGTGTTTAATGATATCAAATTTTTTACCTCCCCGTTAATTGATAATTATATGTTGTAATATATATCTATCAACAAAGCTATATAATCCAGAAGGTAAAATGCTTATTTAGAACCTTCTTACTCTTCATCGCGTCTGTATATATAAAAAATAATAAACTGTATTTTAATCTGTACCTTAGCAAACCAAATACTTTTTCTAATATAATTATCGGTACCCCCAAAAATATTAATTTTAGCAGATATAAAAAGACCTTAAAAAACTTTGGTAGTCCTTTGGAATGTGGTCTGTATGAATAATGACAGAAGGATCTGTCATAGTTTCTACTGTCTTCCGATTTCTAAATAGTCTTTCTTGTGGTGTCATTTCAATTGTATCAATGACTTCAGTGTGATCAGATACAGCAGACGAGGATGACGATTCCATTAAAGTCGTGTCAGTGGTTGGCTCCTGTATTGTACAATTGATGACACCACTACAACTCGCTTCCATTATTTCTCTGTAACGATTAATATTTAAACGTAACTGTTGATTTTTTGCTTACTTAGGCGTATAACTTATAAGGTGTGTGTAACCTACTAATAACCGATGTTTATGGAAAAATACGTTGAACATAATAATGATAATGACAGATTTGTAGATCACACATAAAATTACTATTGGCAGAAAAAGATTAGGTCTCATAATACCTTTTAAAACCACAAAAGTAAAATATAATTTTGTAAATAATATGTACGCTATTAAAAGTAATGTGAATAGACAGTAGACGTCGCAAACATGTTATTAGAATCCGCTTTACAAAATATTTACGAAATTTAAATAAAACCGTCGTCCTTACAAAACAATTATTTTAAACGTTTACACAACATTTAAATTAATGCCTTAATATTTTTCTATTTATCCTTTATGCTATATCTTTTAGAATCAACACATCTTACCTTAGTATTTATATATTGTTATTTAATGATGCAAATACCTTATAAGAATTGGCTAGACATAATATAAGTTAGTTAATCAAGTAGGCTGTAGGAGACATTGTTTATCACTACGTATCTCACAAGTTTCAAAATGATCGTTAGTACTTACTCATCGATACATTCAGTTTTGATTTCAACGTCTGCCTTCAACATAGGCTTGATAAATGGTTCATTCTCGGTTTTTGTCAAGATGCCATCCTTAACTAATTCGAGGATATTACAAACTTCAAATGACTGCCTTGTATATTTTTGCACGGCTGTGCCATTAAGCGATACCTCTTCACGCGCCAAGCGTTTCATATTTTGCCACTGGGTCTTCAATTTCTTTATCGAAAAGCCACAGAATTTCGTCCCAAACTTCACGGTTAGAGCTCGTAATATCTCGTTCCACGCCGCGTCCTTCTCTTCATAATAGTTAGGAGCGTTCGGTTTAATGACAACTACTTCTTTTCGCTCCTTGATGAGATCTAACAAGAATTGTTTTTCTTCGAGCGACCAATTCGGCGTTCGCGATCGTCGACTCGCTATCTTTTTCATCTTAAACGGTATACTTTGGGAATCAATTTTCCGCAACGTTTTGCGACAAACGATGCACTCAACGTCTAGCTCAAAGGGCGTCCACATTTAAAAACAAACGAAGGTCGGTAACGATGGAAAACTATTTGACAACGACGGTTGCTACCTAATTGCGAGTTTGTTATTTAAAAGCGAGGTAAGGAATGAGGTTTCTTTTGACAACATTTATTCATAATATCAACGTAAAAGGAATAGACTAAATAAATAATTTAAATAGTTTTATTATTAGACTATAAGTCACACTACTATATAAATCATTAATATAATATGAAAAAAAAGAAATACGACTCGGGCGGGACCTAAACCGGCATATACAGCGTTCAGCTGACTTTTGTTCTAAATCAAGTCCTACCAGTATTTTTTTAATTTAAATAGTTTTGAATCTTCATAGGTATGTGATTATATATGTCACGTATTAAATAGTTAAGTCACACCACTTTTTTAAAATAAGTGAAATAAAAATTAAACTTATCATTTTTAATTCTATGTAATCTGTTCTTGTATTTGAACTTTTCACCTTTCCAACATACAATAAACGTTCACGAATTAATCCGTTTGTATTTTATTTTATATCAGTAAAAACCTTTTTTGACAAATCAGCTATGTTTTTTTTCAAAAAAGTACTTATCCTTTATTTAAGTCGACAATGGCGATGCAAAGCCTTGTAAATTTTAACTTCGTTTCATTCATACAAGTGTCGTCGTTAAAACATAATAATAAATACACGTAATTGAATAATTATTATCATTTAAATATTATTATAATAAACATAACAAGAATACACACGTGTTTAAAATAAATATTAATTTAATTGATAAGTTTAGTTTTATCGTCTTTGCGCGTGTTAGCACTAATATATAAAAACATACTTACTTATTACATATACCATTATTGTATGCGGAATAATTTATTCTTCTTTTAAATTTTCATAAACATTAGATCTCATTTTTTTATTGGTTAATAGCGAATCTTAATAAGATGTTAATGAGCTGGGGTATGTATCAGATATGTGTTAGAGCTATCGATACTGTGGACAGAAATATTGCAGCGCCCTTGAAACTTGTAAAAAATGTATATGCTGCATTTTATTTATGAAATAATTGAGGTCTAATAATTGTACCTAATCTGTTACTGATCTCAAGATGTTTTCCATTGAGGGTATGAGGAATTACAGACCCAATATAATGTCTGATCTCGAACCCTCAACGCCGTTCCATCAGTTTTACTCCAAGTTTGTCCGTCCTTTTCTATAACCACAAAAGTATACCTACGCACAATTTGAACTTGATTAATCCCATCAAGAATGCATTGCAGTAAGCAGTTGATGGAATCCATTTAATCTCTATAAAATGGCTTCCTTCAAAGAAAATCAATCTATGCATTTTTGTACTTAATAGCGTGAAGTTAAACACCTTCTCGTTAAGTAAGACACCAATAATATAACGTAGAAGAATCGACCTATAACATGTTAAAATAAAACATTTTCAACGATATAAAACGCATATATGTTAGTTAACTTATTATCAGTGTATTTTGACTACGGCCCGACGTTTCATAGTACTACATATTACAAGCTACGGCCATTTAAAAATCATAGTGTAGTGACTGACAAATATAGGTATTTTTAAACATTCCCACTAGTTATACATTTTAAAAATCGAAAATAAATTGAAAAAAATTTCGACTCGGGCAGGACTTGAACCGGCATCGTCAGCGTTCCGTGCTGTTGCTCTACCAATTGAGCTACCGAGTCATTAGTTGTAAATTTTTAATCATCGGGAGTTTCAGGCTTCTTTCATCAGTTCTGTTATGGTAGGGTGTATTCGTTTAAGCCCACCCAACCGAGGAAAGAAGTGCGCACGCACTTTCGGAATGTCTGAATCCTTCATCCGCCCTTTTTAAGATGTCCCCTTACAGTAGGATATTTACGAGTTGAAACCAATCAGTACCTAACAATTTTATTTGCTTTACTAATATTATAAAGCTGAAGAGTTTGTTGGAACGCGCTAATCTCAGCAACTCCGAGTTGGTATTTATCAACCAATGACGAATAAAAACAAAAAAAAAACAGTGGGAAATGTAGACTAATATATTATTCATCTTTAAGGGCTTCCGTTGCTTGCCCTGGGAAAATTTCAAATGATCTAAAGAAAATGTCCAAGGCAGTATGTGTCTATATTTTAAGAGTAACTTGCTAGAAAGAAGGGACGCGTACAGCGTGGGTAACAGCTATAATTTTTAGATGAGGAGGTTTTCAAAAACAAAATTTGATGCCCAAACTATTCTACGCGGACAAAGTCGCTGGCACAGCTCGTATAAATATAATGTCGATACATTTATTGACTTTGTACTCTTAGTATCCGGTATGTAAGTAAAATCTAAATTAGACTTATATCCGGTCAAAAGAACATAAAATTAAAGGTTGACATTAAGAGCAAAGAAAGGAAATAAATTAACATATATACAGTTGGACGAGCTTATTTAAATAATTCTCGTTATTATCTTTGGCCCTAAGAAGTTCTCACGGAACAATACGATGTAGGTAAAAGGTTTTATCTACTGGGTTCTGGGAGACAGATTTCGACTTCCTGTTGCTTTTACTCAATATCTCATCGCGTATTGTGTGATGTGCCGAATCCGGTTGAAAATCGGTTCAGCTTCGGTTAAAACCGAACAAGCACCAGAAAAAAATATATAATTCACTTATTATCTATTGTAATTCTAATTACTAAATATAATAGACTACCTGTGCTGGCTTCGTTCGCAAGAAATAGTTAAATCCGCCTCATTTTTTTTTATTTATAGCTTTTACCCACAACGTCGCCCGCGTCTCGACGTACTCACAAGTTAATCTTAAAAGATAAACATATACTGCCGCGGATATTTTTTACGTGGTTTAAGGAAAATCATTCTTTTATACCCCGTTTTCGCAGCGCACGCACTCAAAGATGTATGATTTTCCCCTTTTTTCTACATTTTCCACTGTTTTACTACCTCCTCAATAAATGGTCTACCCAAAATAAAAATATGTTTTCAATTCAAACCACTTCCTGGGATTAGTTCGTTCAAACAAACAAACAATCTCTGCAGCATTATAATATTAATATACTGTAGTATTTTAAATTTGACAGAAGTATTATGTAAGTTTTTTCTCGTTTATTTATATGTTATTATTTTTATTTACATTGGATAGCCGGGAATGAAACGCAGCGCTTTATTTATATGCCACACATCACTCGCTATTATAATAGAAAATAAAAATATAATATAGTACCTAATTTAATAATAATAATAATCATTTATTTGTCAGACCATAAATTTAAGTGTCGCCCCCTGTGACTGTAACAAGACATAACCCTTTGATTATTTCCCTACAACTGTACAGGTATAATCTTAATAGATATTTCTAACATTAGTGAGTAACAAGTAAAACTAAAACAGTACTAAGCATGTCATGAATTATTTAATTGAAAATGTTCAGTGGAAGTTCGGCTTCGGCTTAAATAACATTCGGACCATCTCTAGTCATGAATATATTTTTCTAATATCTATAAAATATTGAAAATAACAGAACATTTACGGTAATTACTCAATGAACGAGTGGAGTATGTGGGGTCTGGGCGAAGACGTGAATGGTCTTAGGTAATTGGTCTTTCCGCTGAGGCCAGTATCGTCAGTTTACCGGCTCAATGGTTAAAATCCTATCCCAAAGGCCACGTCATTACGAGCGAGCGTGTTCAAAGGTATCCTGGGAAATATAAAATGAATCATGTGAGCAGATCACATACATTTGATCAACTATTTTTCTGTAAACTTTAATATTTTTTACATGTTATTGCACATGAAAAAAATGCTGTCGATGCCGGTTCAAGTCCTGTCCTAGTTATTATTATTTTTTTAGATTCTTAACTACTTGTCTGTTAAATAACAGGGATCATTGAAATTATTTGCCCTATACTTTATATTAGGAAACGAGGGAAGATCAGATTTTGTCGTCTTAGAAGAAGGTGAGTAATTTTAAATAAGTTTTAAAGTATTCTTTAGCATACTTTAGATATAAACGAACAGTTAGAAAGATAATTATATTAAGTACTATCGTTTGTATATATTATAAAACAAGCATCCAATCAGCAACATGCTTTTTTAAATAATATATTCTTAACGAACTAAAACGCGAAATATATTAGTTGACTTATTTTTTATATCTAACTACGGCCCGATGTTTCAGAAGCGTTGAAGTAGCCGTGGTCACGGGGGACTGAAGATGGAGAGTGGCCCTTATGTCAAAGTTAAAACTGCTACTCTGGCGCCATCTGTATCGTCGCTATTGGTATTTGGCCTGCCAGTTTCTGCAAATAAGTTAAATGAAAAGTAAATTAACTGTACTTCGCGTTTTGAACTGTTAAACTGTTAAAAGTGTTATGTACCTACATTTAAATGTGTAGGTACTGCTGGCGTAAATTACTGACAATATTTAACATCATTATTTGTTAATGTAGTTTATTAGTTAATATTATTTAAATGATTTATTTCATTTGTTTTTTCATTTACACGATAAGTATCTTTTAGTAGTAGTAGTTTTTTATGCAAACCCTATCACTAAGTAGTTCACCTATTAACAAATCGATTAATTTATAATCACCATCAGTAAAACCCCAATGTTTCAAAACATCAAATTCTCGTAATATTTTTTAAACGTTGCGCAACTTGGCCCTTTAACTCCCATCATAACGGTATTTATTTTGTTTGTGTCCACGTTGTTTTTGTAGTTCATCTTAACCCAACTTTATGTGTAAGCACCCTAGTTAATAATTAACCTATTTTAAAGAAAGTGAATGTTTTTTTTTTGGAATTTCTAAAAAAACATAAGCAACTTTCGTTTCAAGTCAGTCGAGCGTGGCGTCTCGCGGGCAGAGCGCGTCGGTCACTCACGTGTACAGCTTAAAACGATTCTAAACACG